CAATCGGCCCTGCTCTGAGCCCCACCAGGGGCTGCACCTAGGGATTGGGCCTGCCCTCTGCCACCCGGGAGCAGGCTTAAGCCAGCAGGTCGCTATCTCCCGAGGGGTCCCAGACTGCGAGAGGGCACAGGCTGGGCTGAGGGACCCCCCCCACCCCCCGAGTGCACAAATTTTTGTGCACTGGGCCTCTAGTTATTTTATAATAGTTTCAAGTGTACTGCCTAGTGATTACACATTTATATAATTTACAAAGTAATTACTCCCCCCCCCTCCACCCCCCGTAAGGTCTAGTACGCACTTGGCACAATACATAGTTATTACAATACTAGAGGCCTGGTGCATGACATTCGTGCACTGGCCAGGGGAGGGGAGGCCCTCAGCCCAGCCTGCACCCTCTCACAGTCTGGGACACCTCAGGGGATGTCCGCCTGCCAGCTTAGGCCCGCTCCTTAACGCTGCCTTGGAGGCGGGACAGTCTCCCGCCACCGCTGCTGCACTCGCCAGCCGTGAGCCCGGCTTCTGGCTGAGCAGTGCTCCCCCTGTGGGAGTGTACTGACCACCGGGGGGCAGCTCCTGTGTTGAGCGTCTGCTCCCTGGTGGTCAGTGCATGTCGTAGTGATCAGTCGTTCCACTGTTCGGTCGATTTGCATATTAGGGTTTTATTATATAGGATTATTGACTATGTTCCCTATGCTATACTTTACATCCTATGACTATTTTATAACTACCAATTTATACTTCTTAATCCCTTCACTTTTTTCACCCAGCCCCTCTCATCTGGCAACCATCAGTTTATGCTCTTTATCTATGAGTCTTTCTGTTTTGTTTGTTCATTTATTTTATTCTTTAGATTCCACATAATTGTAAAATTATATGGTATTTGTCTTCCTCTGATTGACTTATTTCATTTAGCATAATATCCTCTAGGTCCATCCATGTTGCTGCAAATGGTAAGATTTCATTCTTTTGTATGGCCAAGTAATATTTATATTGTATATATACCCATATGTGTACAGTGTATATTGTATATGTACCACCTCTTCTTCATCCAGTTGTCTGTTAATGGGCACTTAGATTGCTTTCAAATTTGGACTATTGTAAATAATGTTGCAGTGAATATAGGACTTCATATATCTTTTCAAATTAGCATTTTGATTTCTTTGATAAATAACCAGAAGTGGAATTGCTGGGTCATAAGGTAGTTCTATTTTTAATTTTTTGAGGAACATCCATACTGTTTTCCACTGTGGCTGCACCAGTTTACAATCCCAATGAAGTGTTCTCTTTTCTCCACATTTTCACCAACACTTGTTGTTTGTTGATTTAT